GTATGGACATTTCGATGATATAGATATACCTCCTTAAAGATAGCGTTAGACAACAAACAAACAAAATCTATTATTAAACACCTTCCAACAATGAGAAATTAAACTTATATTTCTATATATTCTGTTATATTTATAACATAATTTGATTCATAATTTAATTATTGCGTTGCTTTCTTCCCTGTCATTCAATGTACATGTTCAACCCCCTAAACTTTTAATATTTCATTTTTCACAAATGGCTACGTTAGTGAGTTGCCTAGATCCCCTACTCACACGAACAGATAAAAATTATTGGTTTCACTATCATATTTCTGTTTATCTAATTGATAATACGAAATTGATAATTCATTTATCACAGTTTAGATCATATTCGTTTATATCACTATCTGATGCTAAGGTTTTATTGCAGAAATTATATAATTGATTCAAAATGTAGAAAGATACACAATTTGCCATTATTTGACTTTTAAACTGTACAAAGTATAATATAATGATCAGAATGCCTGTAACGGGTAGTATTTAAGAAAGAAATATTTGTCGATAAGTCCCATTTTTCAGAAATGCCCTTCAGTAGTATTATTGTACATCTCCAAAGAGAGGTTTACATTGTAGTTATCATTATTTGTGGATAATTCAAAAAAGCAACATAGAAAATATATATGCTACCATGACGAAAGAATACAGAGTATACATAACTCGCAATTCTCCAAAAAAGATTTCAAATCACAATAACATATCCGATATAAAGAGAGGTGGTAATGATTTAATCTCTACATTGATGCCCTTGTTCGTGAGCCCTTGTTCTATTCAGCAAACAGCCCCAAACCGAAACTCCACAACATATCCGATTACACTGATTCAGGCTGTCCCAGTTCTCCATGCGATACTGACGCCCGTTCGTCTCCCAGACCATAGTGAATAAATTTAAAAGGAATCCAGCTCAAGTCCAGAACGATTTGGCAAGCCTAGCTAGGTTGACTCAATTCTATCCATGAAAGTAAGCGTTAATAAAAAAATATTGTTCTTGTCTGCTTCAGATTATATTTTGTAGAGACATATTTTTAACTAGGAAAATTGTACTGACACCGGCGCTGTCCCTATTGAAGCTATTTATAAGAATTTTCGAATTGTCTTCCATTGTTCGATGTCAATACATCGATGACAAGTGAGGATATCATAAAGTAACCGTTGATGCCGCGCTACACTATAATATAAATTATAATCAAGTTGACTGGTGTGTACATTACTACAGTGAACATGTACATGATCATGCCCTAATAATCAAATGCCGTAATGTCAAATACTAATATATTATTGTGTGATGAATTTAACTGGATCATTGGTAACATGTGATATTAATATTCCATCAATTTCTCTCCTGGTTGGTCCATCCATGTCTACAAAATGAACATAATACAATTAAAATGGAGCCTAGAACAATTCTTAATTTCAGGCTAGGGCTGTGGAAATCTAGACTTTCCCAATCATAATAGACTTGAGTTGGTCTCATTTTTTACATTATTCTCTTGGGTCAACGCCACAGCTCATACCATACACTAACAAGACCAGATTGCCCCCCGCCGGAGCTCCTGGATTTTGGTTATATCATTTAGCTTGGCCAACTCTGCTCTTAAGTAAACAAGAACCTAATCAGCGAGGGGTCCTTTATCATCCCTATGTGACTGCTCATAAAAATCTGATATCTCTTCCCAAAGACCTGGTTAATAAAATATTTTCTGCTGAATATTCGAAACAGAGTGAGTGAGTTGGTACTACATATGTTTACGGTTCTATTTTAAATGACTGCAGCGCTCCATTGTGAAAACAAATTGTTTTAACGCCGCTCTCAGCAGTATTCCAGTGATATATGACGGCGGTCTGTTGTATATGAAATAAATGCAAATTGAATCTTGAATCTTGAAAGTTGTAACATTTCCGCTAATAAGTATCACATGCAGTATACAGTATATCAACTGCAATATACTGTATACAACATTCAGTATACAGTGTGTCGCGAGCTCTGCGCTGGCCTGGAGCACACATTTCCTTCAGCATTCCCTTCGGCAAACACCTCATGAGGGTTGCAACGAGGTCACAGGTCAAGCGTGCACTCGTCAGTTGTCTAATGCGTCAAGAGTAAGATCTTCCGGAAGACGACTGCACTACAACTTCATTGTTGATGAGGTACTACGTGATTGGAACTGGGAGTCGAACACTAAGCACTTTTAGAGAAGAGCTCACAATAAAACCTTATGGACTCGCGGACGGACTTGTGTTTTCATTTTAAGACTTACATGTATCAGGTTAAACTTCTACGACAGATGTAACTTGGTTACCGCTTCCTAACTGTAACATTAACTAAACTTTACGCCTTTTCTACACATTTGTGATGGGGCGACAATGCGACATCGAGACATATTTTGACCTTGAAAATGTCGCGTTACTGACTGACTGATATAGGAGATTTAACGTGCGCTTTCCGACTGTAGCGTATTTCGCACACGGGCCTGGCCGGACCATTTATTGTATTCCGAAAAGGGTAAGGTGGTCGCGTTACGGCATCGTCGCCCTTTTTGTAAAATAAAGAAAAGGATTATTCGAAGAGCGACAATGCAAACACGCGACAATGCGACAAATGGCCAATTGTCGCGCTTTTGTTAATTTTGACACGTTTTGCTTGTTTTTATAAGGACGTCAATGCGACAATGCGACAACGCGACAATGTCCCTTCCATAGTGATCGTGCAAATAAAACTGAGTTATGAAATAGAAGTCTGACATGCTAATTAAAAGATAAAGTGTTGCAGCTTCTGATTTCATAGATCTTTAAGAAGGATTATCAATAATGGGTTGGGTGATGAGTTCAACTGCATCCCGAGTCTATACGTTGTGATTAACAAATAATGCTCCGAGTCAATACATTTTGTCAAAATGTATAATGACATGTATTACGTGGATGAACATATTGTTTATACTCTTCCATGTTTTTGACGGACAATATAATTAACATGCTCGGTAAAAGTGAGGACGGGCATCATTGTGTGTTTCCGTGCTTTGTTCAGGTGAACAATTGACTTGTCCTTGCATGTGTTTGTGACGAGTGCCACTTGTGTGGCAGGATACGCTCACCTTTTGCCGAACACCCGTTGGATGGCCTGAACCAATTCGGATTTTAATCCCACATCAGTCTGATACACCGTGATATAACTGAAATACTGAAATACTGTACAGTTGAAAATGGTGTTTAATGCGATTACAGTCTTTTGTTACTGGAACTGTTCAAATGTTGTGCAGTGCTGTTATGTAATATGTAAAAGAAAGCATATTCAATTATCCAATTGATTTGAATAGAATATACTTGCGTCAGTGTATTTTATTAACGCCCCAAACCGTAATTTAAACACATATAATAACAGATCATATACACGCATGGTGCCTTGACTTACTGCTATCTTTAATAGCGGGAGATATTTCCGAAGTTGTTAATCAACCTGTGGCTATTTCAAGCCTTTGTCATCACTGATCAATTGGCCGATCGTTGAAAGGTGATTGTAAAGATGTGTCAAATAGATACTAAGGTAAATTCATAGATTGCTGTAGATTGTCACACGATAGTTTGGATGTTTTTTTCGTTTGTTTTTTCTCTGGGATGGGTTGTAGCGAGGGTATCCTTAAACAGGCATGCAACCACGCTTCTGTATAAATTCGTACCAGGGAATTCCAAGGGTTTTCCCCAGGAATGTGGAAGTAGTCATGATCAGTGTTTACGCCATTTCAAGAATACAGTAATGTGAAGAACGTCTTGTGACCGACCTCTCGTCCTAGCCGTATATCTTGTAAACTTCACATTAAAAAATTAGTTATTATTATAACCAAATGAAACACAACCCGTTATCCGATAGGGGTAACTGTTCATAGCCGAGGGATATGTTACCACAATAAACGTGGTAACATTGTTTGGTTTGACTTCTTGGCGCGTGCCTGAATTCCATTAACATGTTACATATCCTAAAACTGGCTTATCAGCAAATCTCGCTGCACTGCGCGCGACAGATACTAGAGTAAGGCATGCCAGAAATACGAATCCTAAAGCTTTCGAAAAGAAGCCTTAGGAATCACGTGCGTCGGGGGACCAGCGCCATCTGATTGGCCGTTAACAGTTGTACAAGGCGGAGCAAAAAGAATCGTTTTTCCGTCCATTTTACGCTTGAAAAACTCGACCCTTTTCTGGACACTTTCTAGACGCTCACCAATTAATCAATTTTAATGAATTTTTAGTCGTTTTTCCGTCCAATGACCATATACGGAAAAAAACGACGTTTTCGTGTTTGCAGTGTCATTTGTTCCTTATTTCTTTGTGAAAGTGACAAACACCTTACACACACATCACTTTGGGGTGTCTTACTTCAACACTGAGTGTCGAGAAATCAACTCCCTCTGTACAAAGGGCACCTATGTGGCTATCAATACGGTTCTATATTAACCCCCAATGACTCAAACATCCTAGCGCAATTGTCTGATATTATTTATTATCTATTCATTCCTGACGATCTATCATAATCAGCTGAGAGTTCCATCTATTTGCAATAGTATGTGTGTTACTTCTTTTCAAATTAACTGCATTGCATTTAGTCTATCATGCCTTTCTTTCGGTTGCAATTGCCTGTTATTATTGATTTATTATTTATTCAAAGTCATAATCATATTATAGTTCAAACCATCTGATTGCAATTGTCTCTTTGCTACTTGTTATCAAACCAGTCCTATCTCTCTTACTTGACCCTCCGAGTGATACAGTTGTCTGGGTATTATTTCATCGTAACCTCGATCGATACTCATAATATCAAACACTGGATTGTCTGGTCCAGGCTTTATTAGTTACAGTCAGCCATCATATAGCTATAATATTGCTGAGTATAGCGTTAACAGTAGAAAAGCACTTAAATAAGCACACAGACTACTCGATCATAAACATGTGTTTTTCTGGTTATTTCTAATCCGTGACGTCATCAGTCCTACCTAACAAGCATTGCTCGGACTTCTTTGTTTTTCACGAACTCAAGGGGCGTCTTCCCGGCCTTGTTTTTCAGCCCGATGTCTCCTCCACGTTCAGCGAGATGGCAGCTATCTCCAGTGCCATGTCTTCGTCCTTGGAACCCTCCTGCAGATAGTGAAGACATTGTCATAAACAATCACAGCTTCACTCCTCAACACACAGTGAACCTTAATTTGGACAAGCATGAAACACACTTCACACGGGCAAATGCGCGATATAACACGCACCTGGGATAGCTAAATGCCTCCTTACCTGCTGCAGCATTGCAAACACAATCAAACCACATTGGGACCACGTTAAAAGTATGACAGTAGTAGTCAAAGCTCCTGGCAGGGTGCGGGGGCACGGGTGGCCCAGTCGTCTAAGGCGCCGCTATTCGCTGTGTGGAGTTGCGTCCCTTGGGCACGCCAGAAACCTATGATTGCGGGTTCGAATCCCGGTTCGCCCCGATAATGTTTCTAGGTTTGTCAGCACCATACCCGTGCTCGTGGGTTTCACCGAAGTGGTAAACGTCCAAGACCTGCATCACTTCGGGCTTTCCTCCCACATTAAGCTGACACGCCGCGATATGACTGGAATACTGTTAAAAGCGGCGTTAAACCCAACTCACTCACTCACTCCTGGCAGGGTGCTGTAATTGGGACCACGTTAACAGTAAGACGGTAGTATTCACAGCTCCTGACAGGGCGCTGTAAGTGGGACCACGTTAATAGTATGACGGTAGTACTCACAGCTCCTGGCAGGGTGCTGTAATTGGGACCACGTTAACAGTAAGACGGTAGTATTCACAGCTCCTGACAGGGCGCTGTAAGTGGGACCACGTTAATAGTATGACGGTAGTACTCACAGCTCCTGGCAGGGTGCTGTAATTGGGACCACGTTAACAGTAACATGGTTGTACTCACAGCTCCTGACAGGGCGCTGTAAGTGGGACCACGTTAATAGTATGACGGTAGTACTCACAGCTCCTGGCAGGGTGCTGTCCATGTGGGCGGCGTGGAGAGGAGAATTGCCATCTTGGTCCTGTACGTTAATTTCCGCTCCTGTAGATCATATTAAGTAAAATGTGTCATAGTTACAGAAGACTCTGTCAACTGTATAGTTTACTGTACAGTGGATATAGCGTAGGTCATCTACTGATTATGTCATACTCGACGAGCAGACAATCTTCATTAACATATTTGGCCGGTGCACTGTGTGCATGCTACCTGCACCAGAGTTCGGGGATCTTCCGTAAGCTGCACCGTTCTATCCTCCTGGGGTGATGAACCATCTGCAGGTCATATCATTTACTACTCACTAGACCGAAAGAGCAGTTAGCCAATCTGTACTAAGGGATCTATTTGATATGGGGGATCTGGAACTGTTTTTTGGAGATTAGATATTGTTCAGCTAAATCTGCAAAACCAGATATTTTTGCATATTAAAACTATGAGCCTGGTGTTTTTTTTAAAGAAACACACCTTGCAACAATTTTTGTGACAGACAATTTCTTCTTTTTTTAACATTCTGGCGCATTGATAATGATTTCATGCATTTTATTGTCATAATTTTGATTTTTGTTGTTGTTGTTTTGTTTGTTTTGGTTTTTTTTTTTTTTGGGGGGGGGGCACAAAACCCCAGATCCCGACGCCCCTCTCCTTCCTCCACCGAATATCAAATGGTCGGCCACTGACCAGACTCGAGGAGATGAATCATATGCAGATCCCATCATTCTCTACTCACCAGACTCTAGGAGCAGTTGGACCATCTGCAGATTACATCCTTGCACAGCCAGATGAAGAGCTGTCTTGCCATTGTCGTCTCGTGCATTGACGTTACACCCAGCCTATTCACGAATCGTCCAATTGAAATTGTCATGAAATTGATTCAGTCATATGTACATAAACTTTTTCTAAATAAGGGAAACAAATTGTCAGTGATAACAAAACCATTTCTATTTGGTCTAATAACCCATAGCATACAACCTTAGATGTAAAAACTTATAGTTCAGTTCACACTTAACGCTACAATTCCTAGAGCTGGTGAGATTCCCTATTCATTTTGAATCGTGTTTGCGCTGAGAGAACTCTCATACATTGATCGGATGACTATACTTATAATTAGTGTGGCCTCAGGAGCTAGTGAAAGAATAAGAGTTTTCGCCAGATTCGTGACCAACTCGTGTTATTCCGGGACAAGCCGTTTAGCGACTCGTGCCCCGGTCGTTGCCATATTTGCGACTGGGTTCCGTCTAAGCCCAAACGGGTATAGCTAAAAGAATTGTCAACTCATTGCGTCACGATTCACGTATATTTGCCTCATACATCATATACGTTCCAAATGCTATTGGGGACACATCGGGACTTACAGTATAATACAGTATGATTTGAACACATTAAACTGCATCTTGGGTATATTTTTAGATGCAAGACACGTAAAATCAAACATTATACCTGAGGGATTCTTATACCTTTCCTACGCGCATTCTGATTAATTTGGTTTGTCGTATGTTCGCACATAACATTCATCGATAGGGTGACGAGTCTTCTTACAGATTACGGAAAGGGGCGAGTGGTGACGAATGTTACGCCAATGTATTTAACAATGTTCCAGCAACACGGCGGGATGCACCCATTTGTCATTGTATCCGGGTCTTCGGCGTTACAGGACGAACGCTTTAACAAGCAGGCACTTACTCCATGGTTAACTCACGTCGTGACAACCTTTATCATGTCATCCTAGAAAGGTTTGTGACCACGTTAAAACCCGTTACAATTGTCCAGCTATACGATGTCCTGAACCATATAAACCAGTGATCGATATTATGAACAACGTTCCACGGGGAATACGAGGTGGAGTGTACAACTTAATATGCTACTCAAAAGAAGCCATTCTTTCATTTATCTGTCAAGGCATTATAATAAATAAATTATACTCCTACAGTTAATCTGTCGTGGCGGCAGATTGACTAAAGTAATATGAAAGAATCGGGTGTTCGTTAACTTTCTTGTGAGTAGTACACATACATAGGGACTTCCTTTGACATTTGAAGTTGATACAGGATCTGTCCCTGGCCGCGTCACACCAACCCAAGTTAAGAGATGGTAATGTACTTGTTGTTAACCTGCCTGGCGCTAAGCAAGCATTGAGGGGCTAAAACAAGGACTTCTCGGCTGGGAATATACCATGTCTCAGTGGGGTATCCACGTTAAGCGACTACATACCTCAGTGGGCTAGCACGATACAACTGGCATAAGTCCGGACTAGTACAAGCAGGCACATGAGAGACCGACAGACAGACAGACAGTCGCACTCGCCATGACAGTGCAACAATCTTGAACGCGACTTTAAACCCCATTTTACCTCATTCTCTAATAACATTTACCTTAACCAGGACACCTGCCAGTGCCACAAAGCTCCTGAAAGCTGCTATGTGTATTGGGGTGAGGGCGTTGTTCATTGGAACGTTGACGATCTTCGGGTCTTTCTTTATCAGTGCTTGTGGAAACCTGAATAGTATGATGAAGACATAAACAGCATGTGCGGAAGCCTACGATTCCGCATCTGAGGTAACTCCTGAACTAAGTTTTGTTTGTTTGTTTGTTGCTTAACGCCACACTCAGCAATATTTCAGCTATATGATGGCGGTCTGTAAATATTCAAGTCTGGACCAGATAACCCAGTGATTGACATCATGAGCATCGATCTTCGCTAATGTATGGAATACTGTAAGGGACATTCTCGCGATCTCGCATTCTCGCGATCTCGACCTTTGGAAACGAGGTAAATATACCCAAAACACGAGAATGCGCGATCGCGAGAACGCGAGATTTGGCCAAAATCTCGCGTTCTCGCGATCTCGCATTCTCGTGTTTTTGGTACATAGCACTTTTTGTCAAAAGTCGACAACGCGAGAATGCGACATTTGGACATGATGCAAAATCTCGCAATCTCGCAATCTCGACTTGTCAAATTAGGCCACAAAAACACGAAATCGCGAGAACGCGAGAATGCGACATTTCATTTTCTCGCGATCTCGCGTTCTCGTGTTCTCGCGTTTTAGACGCTGTCCGTGCGCATGTGTAATATCATAAGGTCAAGCGCATGCGCACGTTAGTGGTCCTTTGGTCATGCTTCTTTCATGCTCTTCATTCTCCAAGTAGCATTTAGCAAACTTATGACTTGAGCTTGAAAATGCTATGTAATTTACATACACAAAGTCTGAGTCATCTCCCGTTGTTACAGTTTCCTATGTACTTTATAATAAAACCCTAAACATGCTCAATATAATTTAACAAAAGAAATTGTGTCTATGAATGTCAAATGATGGTGAAAACATAAATGTGTCCGAAAGCTGGAAACAAAACTATTACCGTCAGTGAGTGAGTGAGTAATATTGCTTAAAAGCCGCATCAGCAGTATTGCAGTTATTCGCGGCTACACTGTCAGTTACAGAAATAATCACAAGCCTGTGAGTTTCTCAATGAGGCAATTTTATACACGGCTAGAATATTCATTAAAATAAAATTCTCACAGACCAATTTGTAGCATTCGGATAAAATGATATTGTCCGATGATGTTTTTTTTTGTTTTTTTTATACGATACCATATTCGCTACTTTAATTAATTGATTTTCATCCGCTGCCGCCTGACAACAAACATCCTGCCTTACATTATTCTAATGCCCTCAAATTCCTAGAAATAGAAGTATCGTTAAGATGAGTGTTCCTACTTTCTTTACCTGATAAAATACTCCGTACACGTAGCCCTACTGAGCACACATGATGCATGCGAATCGCATCCGCCGACTGCAATTGTACACATATGCCTAAAGTAGGTCGATAAGAACAAAATACAAAACGTTAAAACTAAAATGCCTCCTGTCTCCCATGTTTTTAAAAAATCAATCAAACTGTAACTATTAATTTTATTGCGGCCTTAACATTCAAATGACAGGCATGCTTATACTGGAAAAGTACCCCCAATATCCAGCCTGGGGGACCGGCATGACTCTGAATAAGTGAGTGAGTTTGGCATAACACTGCTTTGAACAGTGTGTATATTTTAGTTATATCCCGGCTTGTCGGTTTAAAGGGGCACTAATCTTCTTCTCGGCTGTCTAACACTGCCAGCTGGGGCTCACCATCTGCCGATTTGCTCACTGACGCAATTGAGCGTGACAAGAGACTGGACTACCGTGTTCAAGAACATTGATTGGTTACCTGTAATCTCTGAATCTCAGACAAAGGGCGCATGTTAATTAATTTCTTCAGCCTAAACAAACGGACAAAAAGAACGTTGGAAGCTCATCGGATGTCGTTATTTGGAAATACCCCAGATGGTTATAAACTGAGGGCCAAAAGAAACGTTACCAACATTAACTGATTTGCCACTTTGAAACAAAGATGCCAACCTGTTCAAAAACAGTAAAGAACACATTTCACGAATACAGCCTTCATGTTCTCTGTCGTTCTTTGCACGTGCTTTGCGGATTATGGGAAATATTGGTGTTTTTCAGCATTTTTTTAAAACAATCTTCCCCAAATTATCGTGCAATTTCCGGGTTGAATTACGCAGGGATCTGTTCCCTATCAATGGTTGCGATGATTAACACCAACGAACATGCCAAGAGAGAGCCATAGGTATGCTGCAGATGGGAGCGACACAGAGAGCGGTTGCCATTAACATGAACTGCTCCAAGATGACCATTACCAGACTGGTCGCACGTCTCCGACAGACTGGCAGAACCGCAGACAGACCACGGAGTGGCAGACCAAAGGTCCCGACCCCGCAGGATGACCGCTTTTTACGGGTACGTCATCTGAGGAACAGATTTCTTACTGTGACGTTATCAGATGCCAACAGCTTAGGACATCCGGTCAGCAGACAAACAGTGACCAGACGACTACGACATTATGGTCTCCGGGCTTATCGCCCTTTCAAGGGCATGACCTTGACCCGTCAACATCGACGTGCCAGATTGACGTGGTGCAGACAACTCAGCGATGGCAACAAAGGGAATGGCGGCGAGTGCTGTTTAGTGACGAGAGCAGGTTCCAACTCTTCAAACCTGATGGGCGGACGCGAGTGTATCGACGACGTGGTGAACGTACGGCTCCTTGTTGTGTCCAGGAGGTGGAACCTTTAGGGAGCGGAAGTGTGATGGTCTGGGGCGGCATTTGCGGAGACGAGAAGACGGAACTTGTCATCATCGAAGGCAATCTGACAGCACAACGCTACACTGACAATATCTTACGGCCAGTGGTTCTTCCTTTCATCCAGCGTCAACAACGGACGGTGTTCCAACAAGATAACGCCACACCCCATAAAGCCCGTATTACTAGAGACTTTCTCAACGCCAACAACGTGACTGTCCTGCCGCGGACAGCTCGATCACCAGATCTGTCACCCACAGAACATCTCTGGGACCAGCTGGGGCGTCGTCTTCGGAAACGTCAACATCCTCCCATCACGAGACAAGCGTTGATCGTTGCCCTCCGTGAGGAATGGAATCTGAAACCTGCAGTCGATGTGAGGACCCTTGTCTACTCAGTGCAACGCCGCATTCAAAGATGCATTGCCGCTCATTGAGGTCATATCCCGTATTGAACGGTCTGGGCCGTCGTCACCTTAAAGTTGTAACCAATGTTGTTGATCGAATACTGGACGAATGACCCCTTGTCAAGAAATGTCCCTGTTGGAGGTCAAGGACTTTGTTGTTGAATTAGTAAATTCGCATTTTACTGTTCTGAATGATGTATTTCTACAATACAATAATTGTTATCGCTGCTTCAATTTGTTTTGGTCATATTTTATCCTAGAAATATCGTTGGTAACGTTTCTTTTGGCCGTCAGTTTATTTTTATAGTATCCCAGCTGTGAAAGCATTTTCGGGTTTTGGATTGCGCGGATAATACGATTGCTATCTCTTGTTGTCATCCACGTTTTGGGGCATAACCCTACACCTGTGTCTTTGTTGCCATTCACTAGAAGCTCAGTTAATGAATCTATTACAGGTATAGTTAGTAGTAGCACTACTCAGATTACCTGACAACGGTTCCCATTTGGCATGTCTTGTGTCTGGGGTAATTATTTCATCTGAATCCAGGTTTGAATTGAGGTGAAATGTATGTTATGTAATATTCACGTGGCAGCCCAGCAAGAGGAGTGATCAGTTCATTTACTTTTTTGTACACGGATCATTCCTCGCCATCAAAAGTTCCACAGAAAATACGTTCATTGATTAATCACTGTTATCTTGCACAGTGGATTTGTAAGTGTTTACATGTGTAGGTTTACTAAAGCAGACGGAATACACTCATATCATGGCGTGAAGTGCCGATGTAAAAACAACATACTTGGTTCAAAGGATTAGCCGATAATACGTTTATTGATTGTTCATCAACTCCATGGATATTTTTAAAGCACCATGGACATCATGAACATAATTGTCACACGTGCTATCTTAGCTGACCGATGAGACTTGACACCTTTGTAAAAACATCTGAAAGAAACTTAGTGATCAGTTGCGAAACGAACACGGGTTATAATATCCAGAAACGCTATATGTATATATTTTAACATTTGAATGTAACAGAGCCATGTGACGTCGAATAAGTTTATTTGTACAGCTGCAGACGTATGGGATATTGTTCCTGTATGTGAATATTCACGGATACATTCCTCGAACAAGGAAGCTGCCCAAATGTATACATAAAACTGCGGTGGGTCGTAATTATGATATTTGCATTTTGTTTTCATTCATTTGCTGTTGCATTGGATAGAATCAGTTTTGTTCTTCTTGTACCTGTAGGCATGTATACATGTATATTACACTCAATGTGTAAAAAGTGATTCACTCAGGCAATTTATAAAATGTCTAAATATTTCAGTAATATAGAAATTGACTGAATCCAAGTCCAGATTGACTAACAATTTTTAAGAGGTTCAAAAGGGCTTAAAAATAGACTATTTATCCTAGTATTAGAGTGAGTGAGTGTGTTTGTTTTTACCCCCCTTTTAGCACTATTTCAGCAATAACCACTAGGCTACCCGACCGCCCCGCTAGTATTAGAAGCCAAAACTATAGAAACGTACTTTGAATTTTGTTTTCTTTTAATCCTATCATTTTCAGTCACTGGGTGATGAAATTGACCGATTTTCAGTCAATTTGTAAAATAACTAAGGCAACAACCAGTCTCGGGGCATTTCTGTAGATCAGTGTCCCTTTAAAATGAGAGGAAACCTTCCATTGTAGGTTTCTGGCACATCCAAGGGACGCAACTCTACACAACGAATTGCGACAACTCAGACGACTGAGGCCCACGATGACTGTATAGGAAATCAGCACAAAAACACGAGAACGCGAGATCGCGACACTTGTCCAATGTCGCAATCTCGCGTTCTCGCGTTCTCGTGTTTTTGAAAATAGTTACATATAACTGTATAGGCAATTAGCACAAAAAACGCGAGAACGCGAGAACGCGAGATTGCGACATTGGTCAAGTGT